TCCTTGGGTGAGGATGAAAAAAAAAAAAAGAAGGATCTCATATCCTTTAAGAAAGTATGGAGGGGCCTGGAGAGTATTATGCTAAGCGAAATAAGCCAGTTAGAGAACGACAAATATCACATGATCTCACTTATATATGGAATATAAAGAACAAAATAGGACCAGAAGCATGGATAAATGAAAGACTGACATCTCAAAGGGGACGTGGGGGTGAGAAAGATGGGATGAGATGAAAAAACAAAAAACATGCATATATGCATAATCTGTGGTCACTGACAATAATATGGTGAAGGCCTCCGGGGACAGGGTGTAGGACGGTAAAGTGGAGCAGGAATGAGGGACATCTGTAATAGAGCCAACAATAAAAATAAAAAGAACCTGCACATTTAACAATGCCTGGGGTTAAAGTTTAAATTGTAAAAAGGTCTTTTTATCACCTCCACCTTTCCAAGACCTTCCAAAGTCTGGGTGCAAAGGGCTTAAGTATTTTGATAATGGGATGAAAGGGCCTTTGTCTGCAACTATGTAATATGTAGTAAGAACCATAAGTATATTTCCATATCTTTTCATTAATTCATACGAATGTATTTAGTTCCTGAAGTGTGTACAGGGACAGTAGGCCCTAAGAGTGCAGTGGTTAGCAAAAATAGTCTATTTGAAAAGACAATCCAATAATTATAGCAAATTGATAATGAGGAAAAAGAAACTGCTTAGGACTGTAAGATGTGTGTACATGTGTACATTCACAATCATGTTATGTTGCTTCAAACAACTTTGTACAGTGTTAAAACTGGTAAAGTCCCAGTGTGTTGATACAAAATTCTGCCCTCTGTTCTTAGCAGATGAAAAAGACATCAGAGTTTGTATGCACAGATGGACATCATTTGCCCAAGGCAGGCTTTAGCACTTTCTTTTCTGACCTGAGGAAAAGGAGAGAAGGGACTGCCTGGAAAATTAAAGTCAAGGTAGTTATACTACACATTTGTCCATATTTAAAACGGGAAGCTAATTTGCTGAACTGGGTGGTTGAATGTACAAAATGCAAATGTTGTGTGGGGTTGGGTTCCCCTGTTTGCCAACTGGCATTAGCAACCGAGTTGGGGTAAATTGAAATACCAGCTCTCTTATCCTATGACCTGAAATCTTTCTAGCCTCCACCTCATTCTTTGTCCAGAACTCATAAGGATTTCCTATCCTCTCAACAGTCCCACCCCATTTCTCCCTGATTCCCCACACTCAGACCTGTAACTCCCAGACCTATATTTCTTTTGAGAGAAACAAAAGGCATTGTCACCAAAACATCACACCTTTCAAAATCCTATCAAATATTATCCCCTTTTGGTCATTCTATCCCTCTTTCCCCTTTTCTTCCTGAAGTCTACCATTAAGGGACAAGCTTCATGGAAGGGAAGAGCCAGTCCATCTAGAACAAAAAAGTCTCTAGGGTAGGGATGGGAAAGCATATGACAGCTGCTTATCAGATCAAAAGAGGGAGAAGTCATTTTGATAGTAAGGAGAGAGATTGGCAGGAACAATAGAGTAAAAGGTGTCAGCTTGATCCCTCATAAACCCTAGGGTTCAGCCTGATGCAGGGCAAGTGGGGGATGATTAGTGAGAGCAGCAACTCCAGATAGCTGATCCTTTCCAAAATGACAGTAGTGGGGGCTCCTGGATTCCACAGGGGTTAATTCAGGTTAACCTTGACCAGGTGGTGAGTGTTTAGGAGTTCTAGACTAAAGGGCCAACCGGAGAGCTTTCTTTATACTGTTATTCTCATAAAGAGATAAAAGCGGTGCCCTAGCCAGTTTGGCTCAGTGAACAGAGCATGTGCCTGTGGACTAAAGGGTCCCAGGTTCGATTCCAGTGAAGGGGGCTGGATCCTTAGTAGGGTTCGTGCAGGAGGCAGCCAGTCAATGATTCTCTCATCATTGATGTTTCTATTTCCCTCGTCCTCTCCCTTCCACTCTGAAATCAATAAAGATATATAAAAAAAACAAATAAAATCTCTCTTTTTAAAAAAGTGGCCATACCTATTTATATTTCTTATTGAAAGCAAGGAACCTAGTTCTCAAATAACTGCACTAGCCCTGGAGTGCCTACCTCTAGATTTACTAAATGAGAAAAACAATCCCTTTTGTTTAGTCATGATAGTCTGGTCTTCTGTTGTGTGAAGTACAATCCTACCCAGATATTTGATTGTCTGCCTTTCTCACTACATCATGTCAAATACCATGTCTATATTCGCTACCTGTGTAAGGTAGAAAATTCAACTCAAAACTGCTTTAAGCTATATGGAAGTTTATGAACTCACATAACTGGAGATCCAAAAGTAGGACAGAACTAAGAGTTGACGTGATCCCATTATCCCAGTTCCATTTCTCTGCTATTCTTTTTTTTTAATATATCTTTATTGATTTAAGAGAGGAAGGGAGAAGGAAAGAAAGAAACATCAATGAAAAGAGAGAATCTTCGATTGGCTGCCTCCTGCACACACCCCCACTGGGATTGAGCCTGTAACCTGGGCAAGTGCCCTTGACCGGAATCGAACCCGGGACCCTTGAGTCCACAGGCCAACACTCTATCCACTGAGCCAAACCAGCTAGGGCTCTCTGCTATATTTTTTACCTCCCCTGTGTATTGACTTCATATATTCAGGTTGCCATCATAAGCACTGTAGGAATTTCATGACATATGTCACAGCTCAACATGCCTAGTGGGAGCGTGGATCACTTCTGGAAGTTCCCCTGGAAAAGTTTTCCTGAAAGTATCCTGAAAACCTATCCTTAAAACTCATTGAGGTGCAGTGGGGTACATGCATGATCCTAATCCAGTCCCTGGCAAGAGGGTGCTACTATCCTTAGAACAGTCCAGACCACCCCTGGAAACCAGGAGGCTGAGCTACACCAACTGTGGGTAGGAGGGAAGGATTCCCGAATAACAGCAGGGTTCTGTTAGAAAGGGAGAAGGGAAAGGATGCTGAGTATGTAAACAGCTCACTTTTTGTATTCCCAACATCTTGTAGACAAGCTTAAAAGCCAAAACAGAACACCCACACAGTTTATGCTTTATCTCAACAATAAGTTTCTTGAGTGAAGTATGCTTTACTCTTATTTATACTAGAGTTTTAACTCAATCCTGAACATATTAGGAATTCAAATTGTTGATTTTTTAAAATCAGTAAGTCTGTGAGAGAAAATGGCTTAAATTATTTAGCTTCCTAGATTTTTTTGCACATTGCTAGATTTTCTTGCTAATCAACTTCTTTGACTCCCAAAACTTAGAACTGCTTGGGTACACAGGAAAAATTCCAAGCCCACAGATGTACATTTATTCAACAACTATAATGATGTACTAGTGACTTTTTCTGGAACAGTAAATCAGTGAAGTCACTAAAGTTCCTTTTTCTTGCCAAAATGAAGAAACCGGGGAGATGAGGTTCTGCTTCCCTAGAGGCAGTTGTCTAACTTACAAGTTCCAAATCATCCAAAAATTCCGGGGTTCTTTACTGTCAGTAACTAGAGATGACTACTGATTTTTTTTTTTTAATATATATACATATTTTATTGATTTTTTTACAGAGAGGAAGGGAGAGGGATAGAGAGTTAGAAACACCGATGAGAGAGAAACATTGATCAGCCGCCTCCTGCACATCTCCCACTGGGGATGTGCCTGCAACCAAGGTACATGCCCTTGACCAGAATATTGTCCATGGTGGCTTATCTCAGGAGAAAAAAGAGTATGCCTCTATACTAACTTTTCATCACCAGACAAATGTGGATCATCACGAAATTGACTTTTATACCTCTCTCCTCATCCTAAAAGGTATTGTTTAAAAAGTTTGGGGCCGTAAGGTAATACTGATTTCCTCTGTCTCTGTAGGCCCATTGATAAAGTCATTACTTGACAGTACCAGTTCACATGGATTGATAAGTTTGGTTTGCAGAAAGTGCCCTTGGCTTGGGGATCAGTGACCAAGGATTCAACTCGCAGCTTCTTGCAAAACGCGGATTATGGATCATTTTGCCACGACCAACACTAAATGAGATTCAGTATTTAAGCACAATTCCAGGTAACTTCATGATTTAATACACTTGCTTCTTCATTCACTTCTCCAAACGTTCCAACTGATTATTCGGCTTCCAAATGGGCCGGGAATTTAGGAAAAGAAAGAAGAGGCATGGATAGGGATGGGGAACCCTCGACCCGGGTCGCAGCCTGGGCGTGGCTCGGCCCTGCGCTCCAAGAGCGAAGGCCGTGTACTCGGTGCGGCCCCAGGCTCCGGATGCGGGGCGTCCAGCCCAGACCTCGTCCTCGGGGGGAGGAGAGGCGGAAGCCAAGGGGCGGAAATGCAGTCCATCCACTGGAGTCGCGGCTGTGGCCCTGGAAGCCAACCTCAGACCCGCCGGCCGCAGGGAGGCCGGGAGGGGGGACCTCGGACAAAATGGCGCAGCCGCACGGCGCAGGGTGGGCGACTCGGGCCGGCGCGCGCTAGGGGCCGTCCGGGCGTGTTTCCGGACCAGCAGAGTCGGAAACGGACTCCGGGCGCGCGCCCCGGAGAGAGTAGGCGGGGCCGCTTTCCCGGAAGTGCGGCTGCGTGGCAGGGAGCCCGGCCCTGCATCTCCGTAGGTGCGCCGCGGAGGGAGCGCGTAGAGCGGAGAACCGGCTCCTGCGGAGATCTCGGTCCTCGGTGCCGCTGTGTGTGTGCGTGAGTGTGAGTGTGTGGGTGAGTGTGCAGGGGGCGGCACCCAGGCAGGGCAGGGGTCCCGCTGAGTGTGTGAGTGTGAGTGTGCAGGGGCGGGACCCAGGCAGGGCAGGGGTCCCGCTGTGTGTGTGCGTGAGTGTGAGTGTGTGGGTGAGTGTGCAGGGGGCGGCACCCAGGCAGGGCAGGGGTCCCGCTGAGTGTGTGAGTGTGAGTGTGCAGGGGCGGGACCCAGGCAGGGCAGGGGGTCCCGCTGTGTGTGTGCGTGAGTGTGAGTGTGTGGGTGAGTGTGCAGGGGGCGGCACCCAGGCAGGGCAGGGGTCCCGCTGAGTGTGTGAGTGTGAGTGTGCAGGGGCGGGACCCAGGCAGGGCAGGGGTCCCGCTGAGTGTGTGAGTGTGAGTGTGAGTGTGCAGGGGCGGGACCTCAGGCAGGGCTGCGGTCCCGCCGCGGGTGGGGAGGGAGACTCGCAGAGGAAAGAGAGTTTGGCTGTCGTTCCCGAGTCCCAAAGGGAGGGGCGGGATGGACGAGCCCCTACCTCCCCGGGAGTCCGCCAAGTTCATTGCTGAGAACAGCCGAGACGTGTCCATCGACGGCGGAGGCGTGCGGAGGGTGGCGGAGCTGCTGCTCGCCAAGGCCGCGGGCCCCGAGCTGCGCCTGGGCGGCTGGAAGGCCCTTCATGAGCTGAACCCCAAGGCGGCCGACGAGGCCGCGGTCAACTGGGTGTTCGTGGCAGACACACTCAACTTCTCCTTCTGGTCGGAGCATGAGGAGCACAAATGTCTGGTGGGCTACCGGGGCAGGACGTACAGTGGGTACTGGTCCCTGTGCGCCGCCATCAACAGAGCCCTGGACGAAGGTGGGTGCCCTTCGGGCCGTCAGACCCGCAGCCTTTGAGGCGTCAGCTTCCCGGGAGGTCCCGAGGAGCGGGGTGGGAGATGGAGTCATGTGCTAATAAGGCGAACCTGCAGTTCCTCATCGCCAGCCCCGCAGCTTACAGTAAAAGTATGCTAAGAGGCCGGCGTTATACATCCTTACTCAGTGGGAGCTGATCCTGGTATCAGTGTCGCAGCTAAGCACAAAAGCCAGTCTGATGCAATCTTAAGAACAAAGGGGACAGATAGAGAACACGTTTTACGCAGCCAAAATACACCTGATGTAATTTTACAGTTGTTAGAAGTGGATGAAACAGTACAGATGAATCCATAGAAAATGAGGCACCTGGTCTGGTTTTCTATTACTCATCCACTTTTAGTTCATTCCTGCAACACTCATTTAGTTTCATATTAACTATGTTGTAAAAGAAAGGGGTCTGATAAATATAAAAATATGACATGGTTCCTATGCGTTTCCTTTTCTCCCCAAGGGATACCAATAACTAGTGCTTCGTACTATGCCACAGTGTCCCTGGATCAGGTTCGGCATATCCTCCGTTCTGACACGGATGTGCCCATGCCTTTGATCGAAGAGAGGCATCGGATTCTCAATGAAACCGGGAAAATCTTGCTTGAGAAATTTGAAGGCTCCTTCCTTAACTGTGTCCGAAAAAGTGAAAAAAGTGCACAGAAGTTAATGCATCTGGTAGTTGAAAACTTTCCCTCTTACAGAGATGTGACTGAGTTTGAGGTGAGTTGCTTTCGTTGGGGATTTTAGAAATCTTGATTATCTTTTCATTGTCAAGTCTGTTAGTTTCTGGAACTCCTTTTTGAGAATAAAAACTTAAATTTTGAAGTTTGTTCTTGTAGACAAGGAATATAACAAATTAAGTAGTGTTTCAAAGACATTACTTCTCTAGTGATTTCTAATCAGTATATTCCCATAATTCTTTTGTCCTTTTTTTTGTTGTCCTTTTTATTTTTTGGTTGTCCTTTTAAAATGTTTCAAACCTAAATACAACACTGAACCTTGAACATGATGTTGTCAGTTAGGGGTAAAGAGGCCTTTTAATACTTCAAAAAATCTACTTTCATTAGATGGAAATCAGAATGTATACTAAATTTTCTCTATTTAAGTATATTTAAATAGTTATTTTATTAAATTCTCTACTTATTTAATTAAATACATTTAAATAATTGTGTTATTTAATATTTTTTAAATAATTCTCTATTAAAAAGCATTTTTTGCAGAGTTCTGATATATATAATGTGTTTTCCTTTACATGGACAGAATACTTTGACAGTATTATTGCTTTATGGTACAAAATAATTTAAAGAGATTTACTTTTAAAATGGTGAGCATTTTGTATACCGTTCCAGGTATGTAAAAATTTAGAATCTTATCACTGTATATTTTAACTGACAAGAATTGAAAGCAACTTCAGCAGATTCACATAATATAAATCTGTTGATTTATTGCCTAAGTTAATGAATACTTAAGTCAAATGTTCAAGCTACCCTTTTGTAGTCACATTTCAGCAACTAAAATTACCAATAATATTGCTTATTAAATTGCTCTTTAGAGCCTAAGGACATGGGGCATATTGTCCCCTTTGCAGCAGGAACCAGTTGAAAAAGAAAGTTTAACTAGTTTATCTTAGGTTATTTAGATAATAGTTAGCTATAAAGTGAGAGGAGGCCTGATTGTGTATGTAAAAATTCTTTTATTTGCAAATGACAGAAACAAAACTTGAAAAATGTATCAAAAAGAAGAATTTTTGGAAGGTATTTCGGAAAGGCACATCCGGGATCAATCAAGGGCTTAGTGCCGACAGGATTCAGTTTCTCCTTTTAGCTTCTGTTGACTCCATTTTTCTCTTCCTGTTGACCAGCTTTTTCCATGGAGGTCCATGAACTTTGCATCTTATTGCTTCAGCACGGGGGGGACTTTATCAGTTCCAGTTCTAAAACTTATGTGCAAGGACTGATTGAACTGGCAGGGATTGTGACCGTTTGGATGTGGCTTTCAGGGTGTGTGGATGGGCAGAGACAGTTCTTAGAAAAGAGTCCATAGGTTAGCTTACTGTTGAACTTCATTCTGTTTTAACTAACCATTTTGCTAATGCAGAGGTTACTTTGAGATTTGTCTTCAAAGTACATCATTTCAGCCTTGTTTTTCAAGAAATGGATCCAGTTCCTGGGTCCATTTGAATATAAAGGGGGGCAAAAGTAGGTTTATAGTTGTGAGTACACGAAACACAGAGTTTATTCTTGTATTATTGCTTATTAATTAATGTATTATTTTCCAAACAAACAACTATAAACCTACTTTTGCCTCATCCTATATTTGTAGAGAATTTTTTTGAGTTAAATTATAACCCACTATCTTATAATGCTGAGTTAATTTTTTTCTTCCATGTATAAATATAATTGGTAGTTTACTTTTGTTACATATTAACTTTGACCATTTCCAAAAGTGACAGACAAATTCTAGCTGTTGGTCAATTATGTCTTTATCTGTGAATAAGTTAATCATAGTATCTGAAAGGAAACAGGCAAAAATGAACGTTGTGATTCTCTTCCAAGGTGAGTTTAGGGATGATTATTTTCTTCTTTATACCTTTCTATATTTATACAATTAATGTGAATTATGTTACAATTAGAAAAACATATATAAACTCTCTAAAGAGTTACTATCTAGCTATTAAAAATAATAAGTAGGTCGATTATAGTGACACAGAAATATGTACATGAAGTAATGCTATTGAAAAAGAACACTAAATAGTATCATGATTATATAAGTTGTATTTTATGTGCCTTGAAAAATATAGGAAGTTAATTTGGAGTGATAGAGGTAATTTAATATTTATTACCCCCCACCCTTTTTTTTTTATATAAAAGATCTATTACCAACAGAGTAAGATTATTCTTCCCTTGAAAAATATTTTCAACATGTCTTTTTTTTTTTTTTTTTTAATAGCATTTCATAAAGCTTTGAGATACTCAGGTAACATTTATATTCTCTTCACTCCTCAGGGGAAAAGAATTTCTTTTTACAAACGGGCCCAAATCCTTGTGGCAGATACGTGGAGTGTGTTAGAAGGAGAAGGAGACGGCTGCTTTAAGGACATCTCCAGCATTACCATGTTTGCTGACTATAGACTACCTCAGGTACTTGCTCACCTGGGAGCCCTGAAATACTCTGAAGGACTACTGGAGAAGCTTCTCAAAGGTTTGTCAGCTTAATTAAGACACTCTTTGTTATACTGTGAATTATTATTGAGTCTCTAGTTTCTTTCACAAAAGGTCTCCTTTCCTTAGAAAAAAGAAATACTTATTGTTAAAAATATACGTAAAGAAAAAATGCAAGGGCAATTAAAATATGGAGAAAATTGCTTTTTGTTGTTATACTATGGAATATGGATATTGTGGGAAATTGCGCTATTCAAGATACCATTTTAGAGCATCATAATAGAGTGAAATCTAAATTTCTATTACATGAAGGTGTGCAACACTAAGACAGTTCATCAAGTGTAGTATTTGAAGAGTATTAAGCCAGAGAGCACACTACAACGTGAAATAAAATAGGGGATGAGAGGTAATATGAAGTGGATTTTTAGTTTGGAGGCGTCAGGGTCTGCCACTGGGTTATCTTGCACAAGTCACTCAGTTTTCTTTCTTTTTAAATTTTTATTTGTATGAATTTATTTGTTCACTTGAGCCAAACTGGTGACATGCCAGGAAGCAAGATTTCAAATGCTCCAGTCACTCACTTTTCTAGGTTTGTTTATTTACCATTATTGGATTTGATTATTGATTCTCAAGAGTGGAAGCCTTATTATAATATAAGAGTACAAATAATTGTGTTTGTGAGAAAATTAGCTTTTTGTTTCTTAAACATTCCTTTGTGTAAGGAAAATAATTATATTGTAAAATTTTAATGTTAATTTCTCTTTTGGGTGCTGTATTTTCAGCTACTTTTTTTCTTTATTTTTAAAAGAAAGTCATTTTTATGTTGCATAATTTTCTCTTGTGAAGTAGATTTTAATCACTCAAGAATAATACCGAATATAAAGGCACCATTATTCCTGTGGTTGCTTCTTCCAGGCTTCAATGCTGCCTTGGGCAATCCACTTTGTCTCTCTGTTTCCTCATTTGAAAAATAACAAGCCATTTTATGTCATAATGCTCATGTCCCGGGTCATTATTGGATACCTTTAAAAGGGACAACTGTTAGCAGTCAGGGCTTCCTTTGCATACAGACATAGTCAGCTGATCTTTTTTTTGGCCAATGTATATGCCGTTCATTCCTATCTCTAAACATTTTCTTGCCTGGTTTTCCTCACCCAAATTCAAATTTTCTTTTTTCAGTTAAAATCCTACACATCCACAAAGGCTTAGCTCCAGTGCTACCTCTTCCACATAGCTTTTCCTGACTCTTCATGATTTGTCCATCTCCTTCTCTTGAATTTTTATAGCATCCAATTGTCTCTGCTACTGTGAAAAAAACGCCGGTTAGAAGGGATCCATCCAATATAGTTGGACAGAGTTGTCTGAACTTTCCCCTGTCATCCTCATCGTCTCCAGATGCTCTTTTCCAGATGTGCATCTGCAGCTGTTACTGCCTTCATTTTGTCCAGCTCCTAAAAGAAGACTGCTATCCTTACCAGTTTGGTATAGGGTGAACAAATATCTTTGCCCCTAGTTTGTTTAAACAAAGTTGGATTTTTTCCCCTGAAAAGTACTTTATTAGCAAACTAGAGGAGAAACAGAAACTATAAATGTAAAGGTATATGTACTGAAAAAAAAATATCTTAAGTGAAATCTAAAATCAGGTTGCTTGATTAGATGAGGTAGAAATTTCCTTAACTGACCTCTAATGAGTCTGCCTCCAAACTTGAGGATGTGCTGCACTTTAAATTTCTTTTACTCTCCTCTTTTCAGGATATCTCCAGGACAGTCCTTGGAAAGCCTACCCAGATTTTTGTTTATTTTATCTTTAACCCATCTCTTCACCAAAGGCATATATATATATATATATATATATATATATATATATATATATATATATATGTTTAGCTAATTATAAAGACTGACAATGCAATTTGGCTAGATTTAGATTCTTCACTGTGATTCTAGGGTTGAGTTTTAGGCCTAATATGTTGGCTACGTTGCCTTCCCTGACTCTATATGTTTGTCATTCCTCTCAAATGGTTTCACTTTTTTCTCTTTCAAAAATCCATGTCCTTTCCCACTGTATTAGTCTCATAAGGCTGACATGCAAAATTACCACAAACTGGATGCCTTAAAACCACAGAAATTTATTCTCTCACAGCTGTGGAAGTTAAGTCTGAATCCCTCTGAAGGGTCTCAGGAAGAATCCTTCCTTACCTCTTTCTAGCTTTTGGTGGCTCCCAATAAGTCTTTGCACTTTTTGGCTTGTAGCTACATCACTTCAAGTATGGCCTTCCCTGGGTGTCTCCTCTCTTTGTATCTGCTCCTTTTCTTACAAGGACACCAGTCATGGCATATGAGACCCACCCTAATCCTGTGTAACCTCATCTTAATATGATTACATCTGCAAAGAGCCTATTTATAGATAAGACCACATTCACAGGTACCAAGAGTTTGACTTGACTGGTCTCTTTTTGGAGAACACAGTACAACCTACAGTTACTTATTGGGGGATAACAAAATATGCTAAAATTTAGTGACTTAAAACAAGACACTTATCATCTTACGGTTTCTGTGGGTCAGGAGTCTGGGTGCTGCTTAACTGGATGTCTGTGGGTCAAGGTGGCAGTCAAGCTGTCAGCTGTGGTAGTGGACTCATCGAATGACTCTTCTTGGGTGGTGGTAGCTGCCTCCAAAATCACTGTTGTGGTTGATTTGAGAATTCTGGCAAGTTGATAGTCAAGTTTGGGAGAATTGATAAACAAGAGAATGAAGAGGAAGGGGTGGATTTGTATGCTGGCACCTGGAGCAAAATAAGGAAATGGAGGGGCTCAGCTAGTGTCTGTTCTTCCACTGGTTCTTCCCCAGTCACCAGTGCCTAAGCCCTTGGGAGAGATGGGTAGATGGGACATAAGTAACATTCCTTAAGATCCCAGGTGACAGAGTGGAACCTAGTGGGGCTGGGGCATTTTTCCTAAGTCTCATTGGATCATTGTGCTCATCAGGTACTGTGAAGATCTGTGTAAGAGGCCTATAGATGTGTTCAGCCTGAAGAGTGTGTTTTTTTTAAAATATATTTTATTGATTTTTTACAGAGAGGAAGGGAGAGAGATAGTTAGAAACATCGATGAGAGAGAAACATCGATCAGCTGCCTGCTGCACATCTCCTACTGGGGATGTGCCTGCAACTCAGGTACATGCCCTTGACCGGAATCGAACCTGGGACCCTTCAGTCCGCAGGCCGACGCTCTATCCACTGAGCCAAACCGGTTTCGGCTGAAGAGTGTTTTAAGCAATTTTTATTAGTTATCAACACTTGACAGGAGATTTCATATGAAAATCAAACCTCTGACTCTTATAATATTTCTTTTAGTAAATATTTATTGGGCGCCGAAACCGGTTTGGCTCAGTGGATAGAGCGTCAGCCTGCGGACTGAAAGGTCCCAGGTTCGATTCCGGTCAAGGGCATGTACCTAGGTTGCGGGCACATCCCCGGTGGGGGATGTGCAGGAGGCGGCTGATCGATGTTTCTCTCTCATTGATGTTTCTGACTCTCTATCTCTCTCCCTTCCTCTCTGTAAAAATCAATAAAATATATTTAAAAAATATATATGTTTATTGGGGGCTAGTATGTGCAAGTTGCCATGCTAGGTCCTAGGAATATTGAGACAAACAAGCCAGACATCATCCATATCCTTGTGGAACTTAACTTGCAATTTTGAATTAATGCCTGAGTTTAGAAATAGTTTAAATTACCAAAAATAAATAAAGTCAGAGGTTTACAGTTTTAAAACTGTGTTTTGTTCTATAGTACTGTTCTGAGTAGATTTCATATCATTGACTGTTGGTGCTTCTTGCTGTTTTTCCCCTTGCAGGAGAAATGCTCTCGTATGGGAGTAAGCAAGAAGTAGAAATCAGAGGGTGCTCACTTTGGTGTGTTGAGCTGATCCGGGATTGTCTTCTGGACCTTATTGAAAAAAAGGGTGAAAAAACGAGTGAAGAGATCAATTCCATTCTTCTGGATTATTACTTATGGGACTATGCCCGTGATCACAGGGATGATATGAAAGGAATTCCATTTCATCGAACACGTTGCATATATTACTGACCCAAAGCGTAAATTGACCCAAAGAAAACTGCTTGCATTTTTATATCACATAATTGTTTATACAATTTCACTTTGATGTTAAGAGAAAGTGGTAGGATTACAGCAACAAGAACACTGATTACCCAGTCTCACTTTAAAAATTTTCTCCTGACATATCACTCTGTATTCCCAAAGTTATCCTTTTTCTGCTTATTTAGTTTGACACTATTTTTCCTTTTTGTGGACACATGACAGAAATAGTGAAGGAACTTTAATGCTTTAAATCTCAGATTTCTTAAAATTAATCATGTCTTATAATTAATCTTCAGTGACAGTATTTCATCTATTTAGTTGGTATCTTTTCACAATGTATAATTTTCTGTATACCTTAATCATGAGATATGAGACAGGGGTGGGTGAGGTCTTTGCTATATAATTGCTGCTACTCTTATAAAATCTTGACAGCTTGTTTTAAACTTTTTATTGGTAATGACAGTGGGATTTTTTACATAATGATTTCAATTCAAGATATCTGTCTGTCCAGTTTTATTTTTCTTTCAGAGTATGTAACTACATTGAAATTGAATAAAGATTTTAAAAACTTTTCTTAAACCCAAAATGTATTCTTTCATTCAAATAGAATTGACCAGATAAATTTTAAAAGGTTTACAATGAATTTGATTATTTGCTTTATATTTCAGAACTCTCATTATCTGCCACTCACTTACTCCCCACTTTCACCCCCACCTTCTTTCTAATCTTGATTTTTGTTATTAACTACCCTCCCAGCTCCCTGTGACTGTGTGACTCAAAAAGGTGTTCTTTCCCCAAGCACTTTCCTACCATCTGCTGGAAACTTGTCATAATAACTACAAATATGGAAATCATGCTTGAGTTTCCCACTTGCCGGCCTGACCTGCAGAGTTTAGACTGAAGACTGTAACATCTACTCTTATCTGAATTTCCAGTTTGCTGGCCTGCCCTTCAGATTTTGGACTTGCCAGCTCCCATAATCATGTGAGTTAATTCCTTAAAATAAGTTTCTCTGACTCTCTTTAAATGGATAGATAGATAGATAGATAGATAGATAGATAGATAGATAGACAGACCTATGTCTATCATTATCTCTCTCCATATTCCATTGGTTCTGTTTCTCTGGAGAACCCTAATACAGGTATAGATAAATAATATGGCAAAATAACTCAGGGATATTGACTATAAAATAAAAAACTAATAAATGGCCCTAGCCGGTTTGGCTCAGTGGATAGAGCACTGGCCTGCGGACTAAAGGGTCCCAGGTTCCATTCCGGTCAAGGGCACATGCTGGGTTGCAGGCTCGATTTGCCCCTGCCCCCCTAGTAGGGGACATGCAGGAGACAGCCAATCAATGATTCTCTCTCGTCATTGGTATTTCTATCTCTCCCTCTCTGCAATCAATGAAAAAATACATTTTAAAAACACACACACACACAAATAATAAATGTATGGTGCAACTAAATCACTTGCAAGATTCCTTTCAGATATAAAATTTACTGACTAAAGCAATTGGAAATTTGAAGAAATATATTATTGTGGCGTTCATCTAAGTTTCTCTTCTCATGCACTACATTCCTTCTTTTCTGTTTTTATTTCTTTGGGTTAGGATATTTTTGTTTTTGTTTTTGCACGTAGTTGGTTCTCTTTATAGACTCTGGTTGTAGGAACAGGGAGAATATTTTAGTTTTTAGTGGGAAAAAAAAACTGGAATGAAATTAGCTTATTGAAAAAGGACATGTAATGATAAAAAAAAAAAAAAAAAGGGTAACTCCAGGGAAAGAGCTGGCCTTAGCCATGCCCAGACACCATACCTTATATTTCTTTTGCTCTGTTTGAAGAGGTAACTAATAGGTAATGAATCCAGACAACAGAATGCAATTTTTTTTGCCAATAGCTCAAGCAAGAATCGGATTTTGCTGATGAGCCTGGCTTGAGTCTCAGGTGCCCCATGCACCTCCGCACCTGCCACTCTGGCCTTTGCTATGGCCTGGGGCAAAGGCCACATACTTGGCTGGCCTATGAAGTGGAGCAGGGGCAGTTTTTGAAGAAATAGAGGAGATTTGCTCATAGAAAAGAAGGGATGACCGGCAGCCCAAACAACCTTGTCTTCTATACCTTTGTATGTTCAGAATATTTTGGCAGGTGGGGATCATTTCAAGGTGGGAACTGCTGAAGAAGAGCTAGGAAAAACGTAAGGCTACAGTCTGAGTTTGTCCAATGAAAGAACTAATTCAATTTAAGGAAAGAACTAATCAATTTTCTGTGGGGGGGGAAACGTAGTAACTCTCTCTCTTCTTTTACCATTCCTATTTTGACATTCTCAGGGTTGGTTGCAGGAATGGAATTCAATTATTAAGGCTCAATAACTTTGATGATGCCCGAGTTAAAATGAAAAAAAACAATAGGTCAAATGGTATTTAATAAGTCTAGATATACTTACTTTGAGGAATGAAAATAGTAGTATTTGGAAAGCAAAAATCTATGAGTTCATCTCCAAGAAAAGAAACTCTATTGGTTGATCAATTCATTATTCTCAAAATCAATAACTAAAAGGGGGAAAAATCAAGTATGTATCCTGCTATTTCTATACTAACTGTATTTCAGGATAATCTGATGGAGGGAAAGCTCTTTTCTATAGAATAATTTCAGCTAATAAATGTAAAAAGGAATATTGGAATTAGAAAATAACCATTTTGGAATGCCTAATGAATTAATAGATCTGGAAAATGACCGGATTTATTGACCAATGGCTGTTAAAACTATTAAGTAAAATGTTGATGGGAACTTTTTTAATGGATGGATTAGGCTGAATGTACCTGAACTCACCAATAATCTAAACATCACCAAAAGTGGGATATGCAGACATTTTGTGCCTGCTGGTGTGTTGCAATAGGAAGTACACAACCCCATTTATGAATTATTCTTGGCAGAGAAATTGAATCCGAATCTAATCAAGAGTTGACCTAACTAATTTACAGAAGATGTAGGGAATAGAGAAACAAGTTAAAAGACAACAGAAAGCTGTAGTCACCACATGGATGAACCTTTAGGACATTGTGCTAAATGAAATAAGCCAGTCACAAAAGGACAAATACTGTATCATTCCCTATATGAAATACCTAGAGTAATCAAATCCCTAGAGATAAAACTACAATGGTGGTTGTCAGGGACGGGGGGGTGGGGTGGGGGATGGGGGGATGGGGAATTGTTTAACTTAAGGGTATAGAGTTTCAGGTTTTCAAGATAAAGAGTTCTGGAGATCGGTTGCATAACAATGAGAATGCACTTAACAGTACTGAACTGCATGATTAAAAATGGTTAAAATGGGGGTGGGGGGGAGGGGCTGGGGAGAGGTCAATGGGGGAAAAAGGAGACATGTAATACTTTAAATAATAAAGAATTTTTAAAAATGGTTAAGATGGTAAATTTTATGTAATGTGTATTTTACCACAATTTTCATAAAGGTGGAGGGTAACTGTTATTGCTTAAAAGAAGAATTAAGGGGCATATCCAACAAATATTACATATGGACCATGTTTGGATCTCAATTTGAGCAAATAAACTGAGAGGAAGGGAAGGGAAGGAAAGGGAAGAAAGAGGTAGGCATTGTGTAGAAAGTTAAAGACAAAAAAAAAAAAGCCAAGATGGCGGCATAGGTTAACGCCGGAGATTGCTGCCTCGAACAACCACTTCAAAAAACAACTAAAAGATGGAACGGACATCATCCAGAACCACAGGAAGGCTGGCTGAGTGGAAATTCTACAACTAGGAGGAAAGAGAATATACCCAGACTCAGAGGAGGCGCAGTGCTGAAGTGAAATACTCAGGTGCGGAGTGCACGCCTAGCGGGCTGACGGCAAAGGGCGCGGTTGTTGTTTTCAATCTGGAGGGAGTTTCAGACTCTGAGCTCCAGATCTGGGCGAGTCTCTAGGGACCCAGACTCAAACGGGAGAAGCGGGACTGTCTGGCTTCGATCGGAACTCGAAGGCAGCTTTCTCTCCGAGGTTTGC